GAATGAATGAAAACCCAAAATCTCTATAAATGTTCATTAAAACTAATAAAATGTAATAATAATAAAACAAAAAAAAAGCACTGAACATGGAGAATTCTATATGACTCAGCTACTCCACTGCTAGGAATAAACCCCAAGGAAAATAAAACTGAGACACAAACTGAGATTTTTACACCAATGTTCATAGCAGCATTATTCACAGTAGCAAAAACATAGAAACAGCCCAAGTGTCCATAAACAAACTACTGGATTAAGAAATTTGTGGTATAGTCACACAATTAATTACTACGTAGCACTTAGGAGCAATGGCTTTGAAAAATACTATATAACATGAGAGACACTTAAGAGCATTATATGGAATGAACTAATTCAGTCTCGTAAGGACAAATACTATGTAAGACCATTATTGTAAATATAGAAGAATAGATTTTTATAATATTCCGTTGCTAACCTTTTAATTTTGGTTGGTTCTATTGTGACATTTCCCCTTTCATCTCTTATTTGGATAATGTACATCTTTTCTTTCTTTCCCTTTGTTAGTTTTGCTAGTGGTTTGTCAATTTTATTGACCTATTCAACAAATGAATGGCTAGGAAAAACTATGGTATATTCATACAGTGGAATAGTAAGCGGCACTGAAGAACAATGAACACGTAAAACATTACACAAAATGAGTGACCTTGGAGGACATAACACTGAGTGAAATATCTCAGTTACAAAAAGGCAAATACTGCATAGCCCCACTGTTATAATGCAGGTCTGACATAGGGAGTAGGGAGGAGAATAGGATAAGAGTGGGTAGATAATAACCATTATGTTGGAATAGATTATAGAAATAATTGTTTTAAAGGAATATATAATTAGGCATTATACTTATGACAATAGTCCAGAAAAAGAGGTACATTACTGGAAAGAGAACATGAGTGAGGGGGAGGTAGTTGTGCAATAATGAATTTTTTTTAACTGGACTAGGGGGAGAGAGAAGGGAGGGAAAGGGGACAAAATGTGCAACAATGAATGCATGAAAATCTAACTTTCCTGTAAACTTTCATTAAAATCACAATTAAAATAAAAAAAAATATTTAAAAACCCACAAAAGAATAACTAGAAAAATGTGTATGAATATCCAAAAAGAGAAAAGAAGGGGCAGAAAGTAGAGGGTGGGAAGTGGGGAAAATTAGCAGATCACAGAGCTTGCTGGGTGAATGGGGGGGGAGGGGTGTGAAGGAATAACGAAAGATCCAGTGTGGATCTGAAAAGATGGGCTAAAAGTGAACATAGATACCATTTGACCCAGCAATTCCACTACTGGGAATGTATCCCAAAGAGACCATAACTGACATCAAAGCAGATATATGCACATCCATGTTTATCGCAGCTCTGTTCACAATATCAAGGAGTTGGAAACAACCCAGGTGCCCATCAACAAACGAATGGATAGAAAAGCTGTGGTATATTCACAGAATGGAATACTACGCTGCATTGAAAAACAAGGAACTCATTCAATATTATTCAAAATGGGTGACACTGCAGGACATTATGCTGAATGAAATATCTCAGTTGCAAAAGGACAAATATTGCATGGTGCCACTGCTGTAAAATGGGACTGATATCAGGGTGCGGGTAAGACTGAGAAAAACTGGATAAATTGTGTATAATACACTGAAACAGATGAGGGAGTGAATATGATGTATGATAGGGTATTATGCTTAACACAAGAGTCAACAATTAAGGTTGCATAGTGGAATGTACTTGGGGCAGTGGGAGGGTGTGGGGGGATTGTGTACCAGGGAGGCAGTCTTTCTTTTACTTTTGAAAGAGAGGAGCGAACTGGGTGGTGGGGGGAGAGGGCTGGGCGGGTAGAGAAATGCAGCAATGAATGAATGGAAACCCAAATTCTCTGTAAATGTTCATTAAAATTATTTTTTTAAAAAGTGAACATAGACATTAATTTTATAAGACATAATGTATGGGAATGATTGTAAGAAATACAGTGTGAATTAAAAAGATAAAATAAAAAGAAGTCAGAAAGAGAATAGAGACAATTAGTATCCCCCTACACACACTAAAAACCCAAACATTTGTATCCTGAAGCTAATATAGCTCCCTGAACTGTTCAGTTACATGAACCAGTACATTCTTTTTTGCTTAAATAAAAAACAACAATAATACCCAATGACCAAAAACTTCACTCAGTCTGTTTTCTCTTCAGATTTTTGCAGGAAACATGAATGCTGACAGTGTGGTGCATCACAAATTACTGCACTCGGTGAGAGCTCGCTTCATTCGCTTTGTGCCACTGCAATGGAATCCAAGTGGGAAAATTGGCATGAGAGTCGAAGTCTATGGATGTTCTTATAGTAAGTATACACGTATATTATTACATTTTGTGTGACTGACATCAACATAGTGTTAGCTTATCTGCTTATCAGAAAAGTTATTTCTAGATTTTAATAACTCAAAAACATTTGAAAGTATATTCAATTGAGTATAGTCAAGTAATTCAATTGAGTGATAGAAAACGTATGCGTCTATTTTTTTACAAGATTTTAACATCAGAGTATATGGACTAATACTGCATGCTAGCAATCTCTATAAGTAAAGTATGGACTTCAATACTAATGGAAAATTAATATCTGCACAGCAAAAAATTTAAGTGTGAAAGAATTATGTAGAACTTGAATAAGCACTTATTTGTTTTAGAATACATTCTTTGGTTAACTATTGCGTTTATAAACACATTCAGATGGTGAACAAACACATGAAGAAATATTCTAAATCCCTAGCTCTAAGACAGATGAAAATCAAAACAATTATGAAATATCATCTCACCACAGTAACAATAGCAAAGTACAACAAAGAACCCAACAACATATCCTGGCGAGGTTTTAGAGAAAATGGAACCCTTGTTGACTCTTTGCGGCAATGGAAAATGGTGCAATCACTATGAAAGGCTGTATGGCGCTTTCTCAAAAATTGGAGATAGAAGTATCATTTGTTTGACCCAGCACTTACACTACTGGAAATATACCCTAAAGAAACCATAGCTGTCTCAGAAATAGATACATGCACATCCATATTTACTGCTGTGGTTTTTATAACAGCAAAGTGATGAAAATAACTCAAGTGCCCATCAGAAAAATGAATGGATAGAGAAAGTTTGGTATATTCACACAATGGAGTATTAGAGAGCACTGAAAAACAAAGAACTCATAAAACATTGCACAAAATGGGTAACCCTGGCCCTGGAATACATTATGGTGAGTGAAATATTTCAGTCACACAATGACAAATACAGAACAATGTCACTGTTGTACAGTGGAACTGATATGGGGATTGGGGAGAAACTGAGAAAAGACAGGATAAATAATGAACACTGTTATGAGTCAAAAGCGACTCCACTGCACATAATAACAACAAACTCCATGTGCATAAAATATTTACCATCCTCCTATGTCCATTTTTCTATATTGTAATTTACCTGCAATATCTGCTAATGTTCACAAGACAAAAGCATTTTTGTTGTTGTTGTTATGTGCTGTTGAGTCACTTGAGACTCATAGTGACCTTATGTACAAGAGCCCTAAACCCTGCTCTATCCTGTGGCAACCTCACTGTCTCTGACACACCTACTCCCATTATTCCAATCACTGAATAAATTCATCTCATCAAGGGTCTTCCTCTCTTTGATGGTCCCTCCACACTCTCAAACAGAATGTACCTCTCCAAGCACTGATCCCTCCTTGCAACATGTCCAAAGTATGTCAAATGTTTCCAAGCCCGGTTTCACCCTCTCCAGGAAAAACCTGTTTGTTCTCTTAGCAGTCCATGGTATATTCAACACTCTTCTCCAGGACCACAGCTCAAAGGCATCAATTCTCTATCAGCTCTCTGATGCATATCAGACAATTGCAAAGACTATGGACTGTATCAAGCGAACCTTAGTCTCTAGCCTGACACCATTGCTCTTGAGTAGTCTGGAGAGGTCCCTGACAGCTAACTTTTCCAGTACGATTTGTCTCTTGATTTCCTAGCTGCTGGTACCAAGAGTATTAATTGTGGAGCCAGGAAAACTAAAACTTTTAGCAGTCTCAATCTCTTCACCATCACGATGTTGCTGCCAATTGGCCCACTGGTGAGAATCTTTATTTTCTTGATGTTGAGCTCAATCCATATTGAAGCCAGCAGTCTTGACCTTCTGCAGCAAGAGCTTCAGGTCCTCATCAGTTTCAGCAAGCAAGGCTGCGTCATCTATTTAACACAGAATCTTCTCCAATCCTGATGTCCCATTACTCCTCATATACCCCAGCCTCCTAGATGATCTGTTCTGCATACAGATTGGTATGGAGACAGAATACATTCCTGGTGGGCCTCCTTCCCGATTTTGAAGCATGTAATGTCTTCTTGCTCTGTTCGGATGACTACCTCCTGGTTCAAGTATAAATTTCACATAAACATAATCAATTGTTCTGGGATTACCATTCTTCCCAGAGTCAGCCACAGCTTGTTGTGATGCACACAGTGAAAAGCTTTACATTGTCAATGAAACACAGTTAGACATTCCTCTGATACTCTCTGCTTTCTGCCAAGATCCATCTAACTTTAGCTATAATATCCCTAGTACCACCACTTCTTCTAAACCCAGCTTGCACGTCTGGCATTTCTCTGTTGACGTGTTGCTTCAGTTGTTTTTGGATAATTTTGGATAATTGCAGAATTTTTCTTGCATGTAATATTAATGATATTGTTCAATAATTTCTGCACTCTGCCTGGTCACTTTTCTTTGGAATGGGAACAAATATTGATCACTTCCAGTCATTTAGCCAGGTGGCTGTCCTCCAGATTTCTTGGCACAATTTAGTGAGCGCATCTAGGACAAGATCTCTGTTGAAATAAGTCATTTGGTATGACATCGACTACTGGAGACTCGTTTTCTGCCAATTCTTTCAGAGCAATTTGAACTACTTTCATAACCTCAGGCTCATGGTCATACGTTGTTTCATGAGATTCTTCTGTGTCAGCCAGTTTGTTCCAGGAGAGTATCTCTGCATACTTATTCCATCTCTTTTAATGTTTCCTGAATCCTTTAACATTCTTCCCAAAGCATCCTTAAGTATTGCCACTCGTGGCTTGAATTTTTCAATTCCTTCAGCCTAAGAAATGCTGAGTGAGTTTGGCCCTTTTGATTTTCCGACTCCAGCTCTTTTCACATTTCATTATAATATCTTGCTTTGTCATCCAGAGCTGTCCTTTGAAGTTTTCTGTTCAGCCCTTTAATTTCTTGATTTCTTCCTTTAGCTTTGGCTCTCGGTGCTTTAATGCAATATTCAGAGTCTCATCTGACATCCGTCTTGGTCTTTTCTTCCTCTTTTGTCTTTGTAATGATCTTTTGCATTCTTCATGGACGATATTCTTGATATCCTCCCACAGCTCCTTTGGTCTTCACTCATTAGTATTCAAGGCCTCAAACCTGTTCTTGAGATGGTTTTGAAATTTGAGTGGGATAGATTTAAGGTCAAATTTTGGTTCCTGTGAATTTGATTTTCTTCAGCTTTAGCTTGAACTTGCATATGAGTGGTCTGTTCCACAATCAGCACCTGGCCTAGTTTCACAGTTGATAATGAATTTCTCCAGCAATATTTTTCCACAGATGTAATTGATCTGAATTCTATGCATAATATCAGGTTAAATCCATGTGTATATCCTGCGTATATGTTTCTTATAAAAAATATTTGCAATGAGTAAATCACTGAATGTGCAGAATTAAATCATACTATCTCCAGCCTCATTTCTATCACCAATCCATGTTTTCCAACCACTGATCCTTGTCTGTTGCCAAATTTTGCATTCCAGTCACCCATATTATCAATGCATCTTGATTGCATGCTTGATCCCTTTTTGGTTGCTATAGTTGGTAGAAATCTTCTATTTCCTCCTCTTTGACTCTAGTTGTTGGTGCATATGTTTGAATGATAGTGGTATTCACTGGACTTTCTTGTATGTGTGCAACCGCTGGCTGAAACCAACCTGCGGGTTCATACATGTTCTAGAGTGGAATCTGTGTGGATTAAAAAGAGGAGCAGGGACACAAGAGATTGGGGCAAGACAAAGATTCCTGATCAAGCCCAAATTTATTTAATGAATTCTGTTATAAACAGGCAGCGGAGTAGGCCAGGCTGCCAGGGAACCCAGCCCTAGGTTATCAGTTTACAAAAGAGAGGGAGGGGCATGCCCCAAGGTGTTGATTTACAGGTGCTAATTTAAGAGGTAGGCATAGTCCCAGAGATGGACAGGGATGGCGGCTGCATGTACTCAGGATGGCTTCCTACAGCGTCCCCCTTCTTTAGTTTATAAAGGCCGCAGATGACTCACGTCTGTCTTAAGCTACATGCCTTAGCATACTTCTTTCACACAAGATTCTTTACCCATCACAGGAAAAACAGGGCAGCTTTTGGCCCTGCTCCTGTCTTAGGTTGATAACCAATCAAGGCAAAAGAAGAAGGCACGCTAATTCCGTCACTGACAATGAGCCCCTAAAAAAAAAAGATGGTAACTGATCTTTGACCACGTCCCCCTAACTTTTTAGCGAATAATCGATTGATTACACATTCTTTTGCTTTACTTAAATTTTTTGTCACAATATGTATTAACTCGAATGCAAACTTAGGAGTATGGGCTTTTTGTGTTAAGGCTGTAGCAGAAATAGAGACAGCACCAATCATAGGGATAAGAGAAACAATTTTCACAATAACAAGACCTACAGCTCTTTTGGTTCCTAATAATAACTTAAATAACTCTTTTAAAATTTGAAAGGTATTATCATCATACCAAATATCATTTAACTTTACCAATATCATAACAAGAGGAGGATTTTTTAGAATAACAACCAAATCTTCCTTGGTAATAGAGCTGATACAGTTAGAGATTTTGCAATGAGAACAACTGACATTATTTTTAGGATAATCACCAGTGATCACATTATTACCAATTAATAAAACATATGGTTT